AGGGAAATCTCACAACATTGCAGTTAAGGCTGAGTGCCAGACTTCAACAACTTGGACAAATTCATTGAAATAAATAGAGTGTCTAATAATGTGTGCGTCAAATAAAATATGATAAAGTGATGCTGGATAAATGAGTGATTGGCCAGAGGAGACTTTGCAGTCTGGCTAAACGTAACGGTGACAGTAATGGTTGCAAAGTAACTGGCAAACATATCTCTATCATCCTGTCAAATAATATTATTGATCAGATGTTGCAAATTCAAACTAAATTTTAAGAATTTTCTAGAAATCAGAGATTTTTTTCTTGTTTATATAAAAGTATTTCTTACTCTGTGATGTCAATTTAATGATCCTTTAATCATTCTTAAATTTTCTAAAACATTTTAGCTAACATTTTAGCTTGTGATATATTCTTAATAATTTGTGCATAAATAAAACCCTTTATGTTGGGTCTATCTGTTTCAATACCACCAGACATCCACTAGGTGGCACCTTACCTGACATATAAGCCTGGTCATTGGGATCGGTGATACTGACCAAGGAGGCAGTCTGCTGTTTGCAGCTGGTCTCAGCCTGGGCCCAAGTCAGAGCTGACTGTGTGTTGAGCTGGTAATACGCTCCGGTTACAAGGTTTTTCGCCCAGTGTTCTGTGGCTGAGCATTGATATAGAAATATTAAAAACTTCAGTCTTCAGCCATTTAAACAGGAGAATCTGTTTTTGTAGCCTAAAACCATGCTCTTATACACTGTGCTTTGTACACTACACTAGTGGTAGGTCTCAAATCAGAGCAACTTTAAGTCTTACCTGTACCTCACGTATGCTCTGTAGGCACATTAATCTGCTTAAAGATGCATTTAACATGTAGAAAAAGATGTGGATCCTACTCAGATTAGTGAGGTTAAAAATTTAAATGCGGTACTCACAAGAAGTCGGACAGTATCCCCACTGTTCATGCTCATATTTTGTTTCAACTGCACACCAAAGACGCTTCGATGAGGAGTCAAATAAGGTGCAGTCTGCAAACCACCGGTCTTTATACATGAAGGGAAACATGCAGATCTTTCCAAATGCATTTCCTTCAATGGTGTACAATTCTGAAAAGGGGGTGGGGGGAGAAGTTGCAGATCATTTCTTCTGCAAAGATGTATTATTTTGTTAAGCTTGTAAGGGCAGACCTAACTAATTTATTTGCGGCATCTTCTCTTCACTACACATTTTTGGCATGCGTGCACAGCTAAAAGCAAGTGAAGAGTAAACTGATGCATCATTTTAACTGTTAATAATTGACCAGACAATTAGAATCAACAGGTGTTTGAGAAAACCCCATAAAGCATCAGTTAGCAACCTGCAGTTAACTTGCTGCTGTATTGTGTTCTTCAACATTCTCTTTCTCTTTCCAGTGATTGCACACTTTAAAGCAGATGTTTTCTACTGTACCTCTGTATGTTCTTGTGCAAGCACCACTGGATGTCCCTGTGATTGTGAGGTGGTTATTTGGCCCGACTGTTTTAGAGAGAGCAATTGATTCATCAGATCTGATTTCAATGTAGAGCTGTTGTCCTTTGAGGGCGAGCAGGGTTTCATTCCTGCATTCCCACTTTTGGAGCTCAGACTTGTCGTCACAATCGTAGAGATTCACTTCACTCCCCGCACTTTTGCCTTGTGCTCCCAGACACTTTCTAGTTAAGACAAAAAAAAGCCGGTCGCTGGTTGTCCAGCGCAGGTCAAGGCAGCGATTATTTCTTTTCAGTAAACAAAAGCCAGTGGCCTTGTTGGTGAGTGAGAATGCGGTATCTGTTGAGAGAAATGTAAAATAAAACTTTAATTCTGCAGACAATTATATCACATCCATAGGTTAAAATATAAATATATAATCTTTACCTTGTAATAAATCAAAGGTATTGCTTTGTATGTAAAGATGCTTTCAAGCTATTATGTCATACTTTTCAGGATATATCAAGACCATCAATATTTTTCTCATATTACAATTACTAACACTATTCATAAATGTATTTATTTGTTTATTAATTATTTGAGACATTTACTTCTGGTAGATAACCATTCTGCACTGATCTTTGTTGTGTGCTACTGGAACTTCTCCCTTGAAAACACAGTTTCCTGTTCAACTTTGACAGAGTAGAGATGCTCTCAGAGCATCCTTGAAACAGCCGTCAATAGCGTCTGTCCCTGCAGTGTTGTCACTTCTTTATTTAGCCCAGATTCGCACTTTTTAAAGACAGGGACATTGTTTTGTTTTGTTTTATCATGCCCTTACTGGATATAATTAGCATTTTTACCTTATACAGTTTGCCTAATCAAGTGGATGTCAGAATTGGAATTAAAATATAATCGAGTTCAATAAATATTTCACTTAAAAAATCTTGAATGCATACTGTACCAAGTGTTGCTGAAGATTTTGGGATGAAGAGCACAAAGACGGCTAGAGTTATCCTTAAGATCAGCATTCTTCTGATAAGTCTCAGCGCTGCAGCCATTGTCCATGCATTGCAAGCAGAAGACTTATGGGCATGACTTTGAAACGGAAGGAATCTTAATAGCAGTGGCACTGTCACTCCTTTTTTTTCTTTTCATTGAGTAAGTGTCATGTTTCGGATTGGCACATTCAACATTTTGCTACTGGTAAAAAAGGGGGGTTGGGAGGGAAGTAGAGGCATCTTACACACACAGTCTTGCTTGCACGGATGTCACACTCCAGAAACTGAAAAAGTGGCGTTCACTTCCTGTCCTGGAGAAAAAATGTGATTAGTAAGAGATTCACGCTCAACATGACTCATCAGGATCAGTGGGTCCAGGCCAGCATCCAGCCTCACAGACTTTGATTCACATTAATTGCCACTGGCAAGGTCTCAGGATCTGCCCATTGGCAAGTGCAGACTTTTCATAGCATTTTTTAACATGGGGATGGTATTCAGAAACCATAAAAAAAAAGAAAAACTGATAGAGCTGATAAATTTTCAGGCTTGTTTCAGCTATGGCTGGGTCTTGTTCTGTGTTCAATGATGGCATGACTATGTGAATTCCATCCATCCATCCATTATCTATACCGCTTATTCCTGAATAGGGTCATGGGGGGCCGGGAGCCAATTCCAGCTGATTTTGGACGAGAGGCAGGGTCCACCGTGGACAGGTTGCCAGTCTATCACAGGGCTGACACCTAGAGACAGACAACCACACCTACCCAACTACCCACCTCTACCTAAAGACTCAAAATACACCCAGCTATGATAGGTGCAGAAGTTAAGAAACTGTGTACAGGTAACCTGTGATGTGCAGAACTGCCAGTCAGGTGACAATAAATCACACTCACTTTGATTCACTTGTGAAACAGAATCATCTTTTCCTCTTCACCCAACTTTGTAAAAGTGTTACAAACAAAAAAATAGGATTGCCACAGTCGTATGCTTTGCAGTTCTTTATGATATAACTTTGAGCTACTGGGAGTTGAATAAGAAAAACAGTACAATAAAACACATTGCTCTGTCACATCAGTGAATGTAAATGACTTGCGCAACACTATCATGCAAGCTTTAGATTCGTGAGAGGCAAAGGGCAGCCTGCCACTACTGTGCTGTATGTGAAAGAGATATCAGGAGGAATTCCTGAACCCAAACCTTTTTTTTTTACCAGCACAAACTGCCCTGCCACCACCTAATAACACCCAAACAACCATTGGATTTTACTGTACTGGACTTTACACCACCCGACTGACCTTTCAGAAGTCAATTCACTCATCCTAGAACATCCCTGCAACTACTTAATGTACAGCAACATCACAAAGACCTTAACAACAGTTGTGGGACTACTTTGAAAAACATAGTTACACCTTAGCAAGAAATTAGCAATCAACTATTGTTTTGCTGTTTTGCTAGCAAATATTCAAAAAATATCTTATTTCAAATTAAGCTTTTACAGTTTCTAACAGTTTATGTTGATTTATTGCGTTGCAAAAATGGGTTAGAAGTCTTTACACTAGAACTGCTTTGGTGGATGCAAGGAAGCACAAAGTCTTGTGAGGATATTAGATCAGGGTGATTTTGCGCTGTTGCTGATGAAGAGAACATTCTGTGCCTCCTGAGTGTAGCAACACAATATCCTGTTTTGGCATGGAGACATTTATATGTTAATGCTTGCCCTTCCACTCTTCCATAACCTATATCATAGCATTTTGCATTTTCACTTCCTCTTCTATTATTCTCCTTTTGGGTTGGAGGACGGTGCTACAATATGAACCTCTGTCACTCCACTTTGTTGCTGATTGTTTTTATAAGGCCTACAAGTAGGTGGGCTAGTGATTATAATTGGTGAAAAAATATATGAAGATTCTGTCGTCATAATTGCAGTTACAGTATTGTTATTTCACCTTGACTGTGTTAACAGGTTGACACAGCTTGGTTCAAGATTTGACAAAAAAGTGGAGACTGATCTCTGAAGAAAGCCCGACAGAATAGCGCCTTTCCGCCAAAACAAAACAAATCCAGATATCCAAATAGAAACCTCTTGCCTCTGTCAACACTTGAAAGCTGTGAAAAGAGACACAGATAGAAGTTTACTACAGAATCTCTGTCAGCACCAACATCAGATCTGTTGCCTTTTAAACATGTTCTCTGCCCTGTGGAAGTTTTTATATGAGTGTATTTTTAAGAAAATAACATCTTAATAGACACTTCTCCCATTTAGTACACATCTTTGGTTCTCATTGACCAAAGGGCAAAGTATAAAGTTATACCACCATATTGCAGTTTGGAAAGGTACTGGGAGACTATAAAAGTGTGGAAGTCTGGATTAACTTGAACATTTATATGACATTCGATAGTTGTAATAAATAAGCTCTGCTTTGCTAAAGTTTATGAAGCAAAGAATGCACTGCAAGCTGCAGAGACAAGCAACATAAATGTAATGAGGTTTACTGAGTTCATCCTGGACTTTAAGCTGATAACGACATATGGTATTGTTCAGCTTGTAATAAAAGTTGCTCTCCAGTGATTTAGTCACAAACTGTTAATAATCAGAGGGTTCGCTGGGGTAGCAGTCATCTCAGTCAGTCAGCAGGCATTTCTTGCCCTGTGACCTGTTTCTGCAGACATGAAGCAATTACTTGTTCTTCTGTCAGGTAAGTGTCTGTAAATGTAAATCTAAAGCATATTACACTTTCACCTTCAAGCTTGTGTGCAGTACTTTATGTGCTGATGTGTCAAATTATAAATGTAAAGATGAGAGAAGTCACGAGTTTTCACTGCTGTATACTATATGATGACAAGTTGTGTAATGTCTGTAGTGGTTAGAAAATGTGCATTTAACTGTAAAATGCTTTTGAGTGTCTGGTAGCTTTGGGATGCTGTAACAATGAAAAAGACTTTTTCTCACCCAGATCTTTATTTTAAATGTTATCTCTTAGTAATAAAACTCTCTTTACAGTATTGTTGGTCAGCGTGTTATCATGTCCTGATGGGGAGTTCGCCTGTACATCTGGAGAATGCCTTCCTGCGCGACTTGTCTGTGATTTTAAGGCGCACTGTAAAAATGGCTCAGATGAGGAGTTTTGTGGTATGCTGGCTTTTCTGAGCAACTTTTCAGATGAAGTCTTTATTGTTCTTTTCCTAACTCAGGGTTTAAAATACCACCCTCTGGAGTAGATTTTGGCTGATTTTTGCAACTTTTTATGTATTCCTTTTTTTCTCTGTTTAGCACCATTTATACTGTCTTTAGCCTGCATGCATGGCAATCCTTTCTTTAGAACAAACTCTGCAATAAGCCTGACTCATCATTTTTGTCAGTTGAACAACAGCAATGCTGCAAGGAACCGAAAACTGTACAGAGTTTAGTATCATCGCTCAAAATTTTTTATTATGGAGCAGTTCTAGGTTGTAAGAAATATAGTTTCACTATTTATACACACAGTGCAGCAGAAAAATGTAAGAAATAAAACTATACTTACATTTAAAGTAATGTTATTCTTTTTTTT